TGTTGATGTTTAATTTAAAGTGGTAATCAATGCAAGAGCACTGGCCATAAGGGTCGATTTGAGTAACCTTGATGGGCTTGGGTGAGCTATCGTCATAGCATGATTTAATGTAACCTTGATGGTTTAAAGTGTGATGTTTGTTATTGAAGTATGGAATCCTTTATCTGGGATATTGTGCAACTATGGCAGCAGGGCATAGTTGCCATATTTGAATATGCTTGTTATTGATTTGATTTTATTTGGATAAAGATAACATCACTTATTACGACCGTCATGGGTGTGATTGAATACACTGTGATCAGGAGTGATTCATTCACACGATGTGCGATATAAGCATGCATCTTTACTTTAGTAATTTTAAATGGTTTTTTTTTATGTACATTTGAGCGCTTTCATTAATAGATCCAAATAGTATGAATTTGAATGAGTGCTATTTGATGAACTTTGGTTTTCAATTAAGTTGCGTTTGGGTGGCTTTTTCATTACAGCTTTATCTCAATTTTTTTTGGGTCATTGAAAATTCATAGAAATTCTCATTTTTTTCATGAGTATTAGCAAGGAAAAATTCTTGAAAATCAAACGATCGTGTAATGAAATAGCCACCCAAACGCAACTTAATTGAAAACCAAAGTTCATCAAATAGCACTCATTCAAATTCATGCTATTTGGATCTATTAATGAAAGCGCTCAAATGTACATCAAAAACCCATTTAAAAACACTAAAGTAAAGATACACGCTTATATCGCACATCGTGTGAATGAATCACTCCTGATCACAGTGTATTCAATCACACCCATGATGGTCGCAATAAGTGATGGTATCTTTATCCAAATAGAATCAAATCAATAACAAGCATATTCAAATATGACAACTATGCCCTGCTGCCATAGTTGCACAATATCCCAGATAAAGGATTCCATGCTTCAATAACAAACATCACACTTTAAACCATCAAGGTTACATTAAATCATGCTATGACGATAGCTCACCCAAGCCCATCAAGGTTACTCAAATCGACCCTTATGGCCAGTGCTCCTGCATTGACTACCACTTTAAATCAAACATCAACAACATTTGCCAGATATCGCAATAGCAGCACCTATTGCTCTCTATCATCACTAATCCTACAAGCTAGTTGCAAATGTATAAATACTCTTCTTTTTTTTACTCAATTCCAGGATCTTCAGTTCATTTTATACACAAAATAAAATACAGTTGATTTCTATTGTATTTTACCTTTGCTTTATTTTTTTTTGTGAAATCCATTAAACCTGATTTCACTGCAGATCGCGTTTTTCACCCCAAAAATAAAGACTTTTTCTATGATACAAATAAGATCAAATTGATCATAAAGACTGGATGCAGCACTTGAAACTCTTTCTATGAAATTTTCGTATGTGAAATTTCGACATTTGGGCAAAAAACATGTTTTCATATTTTTAAAAATTGCTCATTATTTTTGGTCTGAAAGCTAAAAGTAATTAGCACCATTCAATGCGGCTTCTTTAGTCCTCTGGAGATGTATTAGAAGGTTGGGTGTAACGACGACAGTTTTCATAGTCAAATTTAGCAAAAACGTTTAAAGGATGTGAGATCAAGTCAAGTTTGAACACGAAAATACCACTGCACAATTTCAAATTAAATTGCCGCAATTAGAGCTGCCACGACAAAAACTGAGGACAAATCTACTGGCCGTGACGTCGGATAGGGCGCTCTCTCATTCTTTCATACCCCTCGTTTTTTCTCCTTTTTGCGAAACGCGTTTTAGTATCAAACCATGGTGGATTTGGAGACCGTTTGATTGATAATAACACTCTAGCTTCCGATAACTCTGTCTTGTACTGTTAAGAGTACTTGATACTGCTTCTTTGAAGTGGAATATGTTACGTACCATTCGATAACGAGCACTGGAAGGCATAGAATTAACACTAATTCAGTTTGTTTATTAGGTTTTAATAAAATCTTGCTTGTTTGAGTGAGTGCTGCTGCCATTCCTTCTCTGTCTTCTCTGCTGCCTGCTTCTTTGGTTTACCATGTCTGGTGATTGCTTCTTTGGCTTTTGTCTGGTCTCTGCTGGTGGTGTTCGTTTCTCGGTTTGTCTATGGTACTGGTGTTGCTGCTGCTGCTGCTAATATGGTCTCTCCTGGTCTACTGTCTTTGTTGCATGCTCGTTCTCTGATCTATATTCAGTGATTGCATATCCTCTGGTCTATCTGTGATGGAGATAAGTGGTAAATAGCTTCTTTGGTCTTTGTTTGGTCTCTGCTGATGGCGCTTGTTCTTTAGTTTGTCTATGGTGCTGGTGTTGCTGCTGCTGCTACTGCTGCTGCTGCTGCTAAAATGGTCTCTCCCGGTCTACTGTATTTGTTGTATGCTTGTTCTATGGTCTATATTCAGTGATTGCGTATCCTCTGGTCTATCTACGGTGGTGGTAAATGGTAAGTATCTTCTTTTTCCTGGTTGCAATGATATGAAACTTCTTTGAACGCTTATATTATTGCTTCCTTTCTCGTGATAATGCATTCATGATGATGTTTGCCTTGTTGCGCTTTTTTCTTCTTCTTTTTCTTTTGTTGGTGGTGTTTCCTCTGTAGCTTTACATGAAACAACATTAGTCATTATGTTGTATCGCGAACTTATAATACCACTGTTGCTTTTGCAGTTATGCGTATTTGTATCATTTTGCTTTACATCCGACTATTACTATCATGCGCGTTGCTCATGCATGCATTTTTCTTGCAACAGCAACGAGCTTTTTGGAACATCTTTGGTGTTGTATTCGTTACGCTTTTCTTTGACTCGCTTCGTGTGAGTGCCTCTTTTTTTTTGCCTACATACCACTATACTCTTATAGTAGTAGTAGTATGTTCTTTTCTTCATTCTTTTATTATTTTTATGTTTCTTTGAAGCATACCTTTTTTACGTTGTGTGGATGTGCCTATCCCTGAAGCTCAACAAGACTTTATCCGAGGCTAGGAGGTGGATAGGCTGCCTCCACTTGGTTATTGCTACTTACTTTAGTGATGATTGAGGGTCTCAATGCCTGAATTTAAAGCTAGGTGGTGTAAGTAAGGCATGCTCTAGCACCTGAGGGAAATTTGATGATAGCAGCGGCTATATTGCTATATATAGCGGCGCTTAAAATTTTGCCTCACATCAAAACAGGGGGAAACCCTCGCAAAAATTTTTTTAGATCAGCGGAGTTTTCAGGCAATCTGATTGGCTAAGAGGTTGGAACAACGAAGAGTTACAGCTAGTTAATCTCCTAATGATCTGTCATGTATTATAATTTTGTATTTGTAATAAAAATGTATCCAAATATTGATACAATTTAAATCCTTCATTATTCAATAGTAAAATAATGTGTGTTAAGAACAAAGAATAAAAGGATTATTATTTTTAGCTTATAAAAAATGTTCGATATTATAAAAACAAGAAAAGACTTATTTGAATAAGATCAGACACAAAAACTAAAGATTTATTGATGAAGACAACAGTTATTCTATTTATACTACTAAGTTCTGAATGCCAAAGTAGCAATTTATCTTGTACAACGCTTATCACATCTGGTGAACCTCAGTATTTAGATAGCTGAGATGCACTTCAATTATCATAGCTTGTCAATGTTGTTGCACAACACAGACATATCTATCCATCAAGAATACCTTAATCTTTATAGACAGTTGTAGCCCTTCTGGCACAACAAAACTTATCAAATGATTTATGAGAATATGAAAAGAGGTTTCTGACCAAAATGTCGAAATTTTACATATCAAAGTCCCACAAAGATGATTTCAGAGGTTGCTTTGGATTGATAGAAACATTTTGATTCAAAGTATACCATAGTAAAAGTCTCCATTTTCAAGGTGAAAAACGCGATCGTTTGATTTTCGATGAAAACTTTTTTTTTCTTTTTTTTTTTGGATGATATTGTTTTATTAGAATAGTAATTAGAAATAAAACAAATGCATCAAAGAGATGGACAAGTGTATGGAGACAAAGTGACTAGCCCATATATAAATCTTGAGTAATAAACTAATGGGAGAGTTGCCTAAGATTTGACAATCTTATTAACAGTTCTGTGCGGATGTGGCGACAGACTTTGATGGCATTAAAGGGGATGAGATTGTAAAACTGTTGATAATGGTGCCTCCAGATAGTACGCATAATGGTGGCAAAGAGGTCATATATGGTGATGTGTAAGTCATAATTGTAGATATAATAATGCTTCAGTTTGAAGTGCATAATTGAATTTTCGATGAAAACCATGAGAGGTACCTCATGCTTTTTGGTCGAACTTTGTTCATGTTTTTTTTTGATCCCCAAAAAGTTGAGCAAAGGTGTCAGAAAGTAACTGCCAGATGAGAGCAAGTGTTTGGTCCTATTATGACAATCTAAAACGGCCTTGGACGCGAGAAAACGCAGCTCGAATGCATTCAAATTTTGTTGTATTATGGACACTAAGGACTAAAAAGTGGAAATACCAGTATGCTACTTGCCCATATATGAAGTAGATACGTGTATATGGATGTAGAGCATCAGATAAGAGTCAGATCCACAGATATTATAAAGGGTTTTCATGTGTAAGTAGAGGGTCAGCTTGAACGTAGTCGTATTATGATAAGATACACAAGGGTAACCGGTAGCTCGAGCTGTCGCTGTGCAGGTTGGTTCTCACCGAAGCGTAGCAAAGGTAGAGAACCATCCGAAGCATAAACACCCATACGATCAGTGATTATATATCAATCAACAATCAGGGTTCTTTTTCTAACATTTTAGTTATATTAATTTTGGGATATTAGCCAAAGGCCCTATAAAAAAATCCGAGAGAAATGTAGGTAGACCTAGTACCTTCACTGATCAGCACGAGCAGCATACCGAAGAGATTTACGATAGCTTTTCCGTGATTGCAACCCTAAGCCCTTTACAAACATACTTGGTTTTACAAAATTTCATTTTATTTCCATTAGTAAAATTCAAACATTTATATACATGTCAACTACTCCCACTCATCATCATCGTCGTCTTCATCATCACTTTGCATAGCCTGTTGACGTTGTTTCAAAACATCCGCTAAACTGGAAGCCAAACTGCCTCCTGCTGCTCCCGCTGCAGCTCCAGTAGCAGCTCCAGCTGCTTGGTTAGCCACGGAAGGCGTAGGTGGTGCCGAAGTTTCAGCTTCACGAAGTTTACCCGATGATTTCAATGTACCAAAGCCACCAGCAGCACGAATAGAAGCCATCAAATTGGATCTGCCATCGCCACCAGCAGCAGCAGCGGGAGGAACGCCCATAGGAGGAGGAGGAGGGGCTGCTGGTGCTCCACCGCCATTCGACATTGGAGGAGGAGGGGGAGGAGGAGGCACACTGCCCATTGGAGGAGGTGGAGGAGGTGCGGGAGGAGCAGGAGATCCATTGCCCATGGAGGGAATTGGTGGTGGAGCAGGCACTGGCCTACCACGATTAGGTACAGGAGGGCCTGGATGTCTAGCAGGAGGAGGTGGAGGTGGAGGCGAGCTATGGTTGTTGTTGGATCGTCTTGGAGGAGGTGGAGGTGGTGGTGCATGATGACGGCCTGGAGGTGGAGGTGGGGGAGGCGCCTTCTTTCTCGATGTCTGAATAGGTGGTGGCGCTGTGGCAACGGTAGGCGCCTGCTGCTGTGGAGGTGGAGAAGAGGGAAGCGCCGTGCCATTTTGCTGCAAGAAATCCTGGATAAATTCTTGATTGTCATTGATTTCATCTGCAGAGATACCCAACTCTTTCAATTGCTCGAAAATGCCATTCCACTCAGAGTCGTTGTTTTGTACGCTGAATCCCTTTCCTGGTGTATAGCCAATGTGTCCAACATGTCTAAAGTCTGCTGGCATGCCAATGTGGTTCTTGTCGATTTTGCTTCTTCGCTTATTGAGAGTATTGGATAAGCTTGGCGTTTTCCTGTGTCCAAAAGTAGAGGAGGCGGTCGAAGCAATCGTGGCCTTGGCAGTAAGTGAATCTCTCCCTTGAACTTTTTTGTAAAATACATCTGCCTCTCCTTCATCCACGAATTCCAAGGCTGTTAAACAATCCTGTAGAATTCAAAAGATGAGCATCCCATCACAATGTCTTTTTACCCAGATATCTTACGTCTGTTTCGAATGAATGAAAGTAGCTTGCATCTTTCACATACTTGAATCCTTCATAAAGCTCTTGCTCCCAAATAACACCTGAACCATTCTGTAATGTCACCAGAGAAGAATGAAACGGATTTTTTTTTTAGCGTCGAGGGATTACATAATGTCACCCGTATACACAGCCACTACACTTACTTGAATATCTACTAGTCGAATAAAGAAGGAATTGTTCTTTGCCTTGTCGATACAAAAGACAGCAGCTCCCCATACCTGAGAGTATGTCCATTTGGAGGGGTCTGGACTAGCGACATGAAGACGTGCTACTCCAGCAGTGAAAATTTTCTATGTGCGTTGTATCAGTAGCTAGTTTTTTCCAACTGTGTTTATTCAAACAAGAGGACTAACCGAAGTAGGCACTGCCGCCCGCACGAGGTTCTTGTCATCAGCTGAAGAAAGTGTTACTGATTTCATAATTTACTTGTTAAAAAGAAAGAGAGAAGAAAGAAGAAAAAAGTGTCTTGCTTTATGAATGTTATCAAGAAGTGTAATCAACCCAGCATTTTGATGAAATGGGGTTGTTTGATTGGCCTTGCGAAACATGATGCATTTTTCTCGGTAAGCTAGAGCATCATGAAGCGTTGGAGCTCAGCAAAGGTGAGTGAACACGCTCAAGGACAATCATGAGCTCAGCCTTGATTGCACGATAACATGTGCTGCTTGAAACGGTTTACTGGAACCACTGCTCGGTTGCACTCTCATGTCACATCACACTATGTTTGCATGCTACTCTCCATCTGATAAGCAGCAAAATAGGCATTGCTCCTTAATTTCATCCCATCCACCCCATGCCAAGATATCTATGAGACAGCCACTGGCGCGCCCTGCCTCATGGACGAACAATGGACTTTGATTGAGTCCATGAGCAATATGCACATATGTACACCATGGCTTGCTTGCTTGCTTGCTTGAATGATGTCATGGCTTCCATCTGTTGCCAAATGATCTCGACTGTATTACACTTTTGCCAATTGCTACGTTCCACAATCCATGGAAAATCTTGTATTCAATCATAGACTTCAAATACGTGTGGCATATTTCTTTTGTTTGTTTTTTTAATGCAATGTTAATTGCAATTTCTTTTAACAGAACGTGCTGAAAAATGTGAACAGCAAATGAGCTTCAGTTGATTGCACTTTTGTTGCCGATGAAACGTGTTGCGATTGTCGACATGGCTACCATAATGCTGTCCATTTGACAGGCGACATACCATAGTTCAACTGACGATGGACCTCTTTTTGAATGTGCTGTTATACACAAAATCCAAGGTTTGTATTGTGCTTATTTTTATAAGCAAAAAGGGTTCTCCGTATGAAAAATCTTTTTTTAGATTTGTATCAAATGTTGGATAAAATGGTTCGGTCCTTGCCTTTTTTTTTCTTTTCCTTCTTTCTCTCTCACTTCACCAAAAGATGACAACACTCCCCAGCGACAACGTTAATACAGGCTATCAAGCTACAGTCGTAGAGCCCAGAAGAATGGCATCGCTCAATTCAATCCCTTATTCAAATGGCTCTACCCCGAATAGTTCTCTGGTCAATGTGGGCAAGGTACCGCCTCCAGCGCCTCCGCCTCATCAGCAACTGCCAATGTCGCCACCACCAAGCACAGTCAACTTGCAGAGCACACCTCCCATCTATCCAAACAATCGACCTGAAGACATGCAGTACTTTTACGCACCTCAGCAGCCTCAAGAGTATTCTTCTACATTTGCCGATTCAGCCGAGGATCAGGATTACCTTCCCGATAGTTCACTCAGAATGGCTATTTTAGCCGGTAAACGCAGATACGATCGAATTCACAATGCAAACCCAGAATTTCCACCAGTGACTGTAGAAAACATCAACAAAGTACGAGAAGAGTCCAAGACCAGTGGCGATCCCAGATTTCAGCTGTTCTTTGCCAGGTTCTTGTTGGAGGCTGTCAAGCATTTGAGACCAAATCCTCAGGATCCTGTGCGTGCTCGCCAATTGAATGATAAATTGACCAACGAAGCTATCAAGGCGATTAAAAAACTGGCATCTCACAAGGTTGGATTAGCCGATGCGCAATTTTTCCTGGGTAATTGTTATGGAGGTGGACTACACGGATTGAAGGCGGACCCAGAAAAGGCATTTGGTCTTTATCTCCAAGGCTCCAAGCAGAGCCATCCTGAATGTACGTATCGAGCAGCCGTATGCTATGAATTGGGATTGGGCACCAAGAAAGATCATCGTTATGCCATGCAGTTTTATCGAAAAGCCGCTAACCTCAGTGATCCCTCGGGTATGTATAAATTGGGCTTGATCTTGTTGCATGGATTGGTGGGACAATCAAAGAATCCGCGTGAGGCCATCTCCTGGTTTCTGCGAGCAGCACAGATTGCAGATGAAGACCATCCTCAGTCATTGCATGAACTCGGTCTGGCCTATGAAAAGACAGACAACAGCATTCCTTCTGTCATTCCTGATTTGAATTATGCGAGAAAACTGTTTAGCCAGGCTGCTCAATTGGGCTATGCTCCTTCTCAATTCAAGCTGGGGTTGGCGTATGAAAACGGTCATTTGAATTGCCCCATCGATCCACGCAGATCCATTGCTTGGTATTCCAGGGCTGCTGAACAAAGTGATCCCAATGCTGAATTGGCCTTGTCGGGGTGGTACCTGACGGGTGCAGATGGTGTGTTGAATCAGAATGACAAGGAAGCTTACTTGTGGGCAAGAAAGGCTGCTGAAAGAGGATTGGCTAAAGCAGAGTATGCGGTGGGTTACTATACAGAAACAGGCGTTGGCGTGATCCCTCATTTCGAGGAAGCCAGGCAATGGTATACACGAGCTGCAGCACATGGCGATGTAAAGGCCAAACAGCGCATAGAGGCGTTCAACCAGTCCGATGTTACAGTCAAGAGAAGACCTACTCGAGATAAAAATGGTAAACCCAATGCCAAAGATTCTGATTGCAAAATCATGTAAAATATCAACTATTTATTCGCCCTCCTACTACTACATTTTATATTATTACAGTTTACATTTTTACTATACACTCTATCATGCCATCTTCATAAAACCCTTCATTATACAATAAATCAATTGCTAGTTTAACAACGAAGACACCTACATGCGTATGCCAGAGAAACTCATTGAAGAGGATGAAACCACCACTACCACTATGCTTGATCCCATTGTGCACTGGTATTAAAGCTCCGGGGAAAGAGTCTCCATCACTCTTTCATCAAAATTTTTTCGGGTTTCTTGTCTATCAACACATAATCCCAAAATGGCACGACAAAAGCACAACGAGGATGACGACGAGGACATGTATACATTTACAGAGGACTATCGCTCTCAGCAGAAAGCCAAGTACATGTCAGCAGGAAACAATGTGCGCCTGGCTTCACACGACAAAACCAGAGTAGCTTATTTTCATGATGAAGGCGTTGGAAACTACCATTACGGTGTAAGTCGTCGCTTCAAGAGGAGAGCATAGACTATCGTTACTTAATGATGTATATATATATATATATATAGGAACGGCATCCTATGAAGCCGCATCGCTTGACATTGACCAACCACTTAGTATTGAAATACGGCATGCACGACAAGATGGAAATATTTCAGCCTAGAAGAGCTACAGACGATGAAATCCTCAACTTTCACTCCTCAGATTACGTAGATTTCCTGAAGCGAGTGACACCAGACAATGCAGACAACTATGAAAAGCTATTTCAACGATTCAACGTGGGTGATGATTGTCCCATCTTTGACGGTATATACGATTTCTGTCAACGCTATGCAGGTGCAACTATTGAAGCTTCACGCAAATTGATTGCAAACGGTGCCGACATCTGCATCAACTGGTCTGGCGGTCTTCATCATGCCAAGAAGAGCGAAGCAAGTGGGTTCTGTTATGTGAATGACATTGTGCTGGGTACATTGGAGCTGTTGAGGTATGTATTGTGTGCGTAGAAAAAATAATCCATGTGTTCTCACATATACATTCAAATGCACAGATATTTCCCTCGCGTATTATACATTGATATCGATATTCATCATGGCGATGGTGTGCAGGAAGCATTCTACTCAACAGACCGCGTAATGACAGTATCCTTTCACAAATACAATGGCGACTTTTTTCCTGGCACCGGCCACATTGATGAAATTGGCTCCAATTTGGGCAAATACTATTCACTGAACGTACCTCTGCGAGATGGCATTGATGACGAAGCGTATGTGTGGATGTTCAAGGAAGTCATTGATGCAGTTATTGGTCATTTCAGACCTTCAGCTATCGTATTACAGTGTGGTGCAGATTCCTTGGGATGCGATCGCTTGGGCTGCTTCAACCTGAGTATCCGTGCTCATGGCCAGTGTGTTCAGATCGTTAAAGACTACAAGATTCCGCTACTTGTAGTAGGAGGAGGTGGATACACAGTTCGAAACGTGGCTCGATGCTGGACATATGAGACATCCGTATTAACAAACACAACACTCAGCGAAGATTTACCGCCCAACGAATACAGAGATTTCTTCAAACCTGACTACAAACTACATCCTGATCTCAAGGGCAGAGTAGAAAACCAAAACGATAGAACTTATCTACTCAAAGTGAGACAAAGAGTCATGGAGCAATTGAGATATTTAGATTCGGCACCCAGTATTCAGATGCAAGAGATACCACCCGACATCCAAGGTTTCTTGGATGGCGAACATGAGCAACAAGATGCTATAAACGATTCTGAACGGGGCAAAAATAGACGGAATCCAACTGGCGGAAGAGTCATTCATGAGGGTGAATGGTATGAAAATGACAAGGATAATGAAGGTGAATCTCATGATTCATCATGGAGCAGTTAGTGTCGCTTTTTATCCCTTATGTAATCCATTGTTGCTTGTAAAATATTATATATATAAAACTTTCTTACTCTTTACTCCTAATATGAATAAAATGAAAATAGCAATGCTATATTTCAATGTCTTTTTATATATATATATATGATCATCGTCATTCACCTCATATAAATTACATTTCGTACAAATGTTACAATGGGCTATTGTAAAGTGAGATGAGGGGATGATTATCCTTCTTTTTAGACATAAAGACCATGATATTAGATCAGTGTATAGGAATAAATGGCGCTTCATCTCTTACAAAAGGAGGCCATAGATTATCTCTAGGCATTTCAGTGTTACATGATCGTAGAAGCTCCAAGTGATCTGCATTAAATCCGGATAACCACGGACAATGATAGACAAAATATACGCCCATTCGTTCAATACCGCTACAGCCTCATTGCGGTTCTGGTAAACTATCGGTAGGAGTGGCTTCAGAAGAATTGGTACGAGTAGTATTACCTTAAGATGCTCAAATATGTGCAAAACACAGCGAAATCAGGATGTATTGGAGTTGTGTTTTCTTGTGTTAAAAGCTGTTTTAGATGGTCAGAATAGCATTAAACAATTGCCCTCATCTGGCAGTTACTTCCTGGCACCTTTGCTCAACTTTTTGGGGACCAAAAAAACATGGGCAAAAATCGACCAAAAAGCATGAGGCACCCCCTCATGATTTTCATCGAAAAACAAACGATCGCGTTTTTGACCTTGATAATGAAGACTTTTACTATGGTATACGAGCCTTTCAGCACTTTGGGTAGTTTCCTGACCTACGCTTCGCTTCGGTGGAAACCAACCTACGTTCAAACGGCTCGTTACTATGGTATATATTGAATCAAAATGTTGCTATGGATCCAAATTAGCCCCTGAAACCACTTTTGTAACACTTTTATATGCAAAATTTTGACATTTTCGTCAAAAATGTCATTTCATTCTTTTATAAATTGCTCAATAAGCTTGTTCAAAACATCATTGTATTTAGTACCATTGGATGCGCCTCGAGAAGCACACTTAGAAAGCTTAGGGGTGTTTTTTTTTGTAGGGGAGTCGAGTTCCAGGTTTTATTTAAAGTCCTTTAAATGTCATACTGAGGGATAGAAAAGACTGTTGGTGGACCCAATGTCTGCAAAGAAGGGGAATAAGATATTTTTGAATTAAGTTGGGAAAGAAATCTACTACTAATAAGGTGCGACACCTAGAGCCAATACAGTCTTGCGGAAATCGTCAAAATATAGATAATGGATAGAGTACAAAACACCAAACGAGGACATCAGTACTACGTCAAAAAAATCAAACAACTTGCGTTTACCAGGATTTGAGCTTAGGGGTGTTTTTTTTTTTTGTAGGGGAGTCGAGCTCCAGGTTTTATTTAAAGTCCTTTAAATGTCATACTGAGGGATAGAAAAGACTGTTGGTGGACCCAATGTCTGCAATGAAGGGGAATAAGATATTTTTTGAACTAAGTTGGGAAAGAAATCTACTACTAATAAGGTGCGACACCTAGAGCCAATACAGTCTTGCGGAAATCGTCAAAATATAGATAATGGATAGAGTACAAAACACCAAACGAGGACATCAGTACTACGTCAAAAAAATCAAACAACTTGCGTTTACCAGGATTTGAGCTTAGGGGTGTTTTTTTTTTTTGTAGGGGAGTCGAGCTCCAGGTTTTATTTAAAGTCCTTTAAATGTCATACTGAGGGATAGAAAAGACTGTTGGTGGACCCAATGTCTGCAATGAAGGGGAATAAGATATTTTTTGAACTAAGTTGGGAAAGAAATCTACTACTAATAAGGTGCGACTCCTAGAGCCAGTACAGTCTTGCGGAAAATCGTCAAAATATAGATCATGGATAAGAGCACAAAACACCAAACGAGGACATCAGTACTACGTCAAAAAATCAAACAACTTGCGTTCACCAGGATTTGAACCGGGATCCTCCCGTTGGCATACGGGAGTTTTACCACTTCGCCCTACCACCAGGGACTGCTTAGGGGTGTTTGGGATAATCGCGACGATCTATATAGTCGAATTTTGTAGAATAGACGAATTAAGTCGTTTTTAATCAAAATTTGTCCAATCTGGATCATACAATACTTGACGGAGACTCAACCAGTGATGGCTGGCAATGCTGATATTTATGAAGAAACTCGATGTTTTTGAAGCTAATACACAAGAAGGGAACCACAAATTGAAAAGTTTTAGAGCTTGGCACGGTTACTCTATTTGTTTTTTAAAGAACATTTTTACATTTAATAGGTTTGTTTACTGAAAATTGCTCAACCAAATGCGCATACTAATGTGAAATGTCATCCTACTCCCGATCCCCTTCTCCTCCTTGCCAGCACAATGCCATGTATGATATTTTTTCATGTTGGCATCACTTAACAGGCCCTACAAGTAGCGATTAATGCTTTATTGCCTGGTGGTATCTCCCAACGGCGATTCTATTCTCAAAAGCTACTGCGCATTAATAACAACTAATGCTTCTTCTTTCTAATGTATAAATATAGCCTTTTTGATTAATTAGGTTAAAAGTGCTTAATAAGGTTTTAACTCGCCAATGATCGACCATCCAATTCAAAAGTAGTAAACACCCACGAGTACATCTACACAAAGCATCAACGCATTAGAATATTAACGGATTATACCAAACAAACTCCTTGATTTCATGCTCGAGACTCCCAGGATTTAAACGTTAATTTCATCGTATGATACACATCTGATTTTGCTTGCACAAAAGTTATTCATGTCTGAACGTATTATAAATTGAAGCTTGCGACAAAAAATGCTATCTGGGCTTTCTAATTTCACTTATATAAAAAAAATTAGTGAATACCATCAGTGTGTATTACTGCATTTAAGCTTTGAGACATCTGAACAGGTTATAGTCATAAAGTAGCCTCTGGGATCATTTGGAAAGCGAATATTCTAGAATACAGAATCAAAAACTACTCTGACCAGCATAACGATACCCTTTAGGATGTCCCTTCCCATCAATTTCGCCCATATACATATACTAAAAATAACGCCTTCATTATCAATAAGTATACGACAATTGAAGATCCACATCCGTTTTAGCTTTGGGAATCTCTCTGGTTTTTTTTTATTTAGTTTGTATCACTGTGTTACAAATTGTTAGCATTTGTGTTTGTCTCAGGGAGCACACCATCAATGCTTATTCATCATACTCTGTTGTTTATCTCGTTAGAAAAAGAAAAAAGCGATGTGCATAAATACGCCAAAGGCTAATACATGAAGCATATGAATCCGTTTTTACATATCAGTACTGTGTCTGTTGCCCACTCGTAGTAGATCACCGAGAACCTTATCCATTCATAAAGTATGATGATGACTCTGCGCCGCATTAAATTATATATGTGATAGGCTCTCTTTCTCTCTCCCTTTGCTGTTTCTATTCTAAAACTACCACATGCATGATGGCGAAAAAAGGAATGGCCTTTTTACCAGGTTTACACCTGTATGGGCATACTTTATGCCCAAAAACGACGATGAGCAAGGCTTTTTTTAGATCAAAACTGTAACATCTTGCAACTTTTTGGCTGAGGCATACACGCAATTGAGTATTTTGAAAGGTATATAAACGCTACCCTAAATGCAGAATCATAAGCTGCAGTTAACATTTATCTCTTATTATCATACATCTTATCAAGCAACTACAATGAAGTTGGCAGTTCTCTCAGTTTTGGCTCTTGTCTTTATGTTGAATACTTTTGTCCTGGCTCAAAACCACTGGATGTGTACTTGCTTTGAACCCAAGTACGATCGTGGATGTTGTGCCGAAGTCGGGTAGGTGGTTTTACCAAGATTTCTTATTCTTGTTTGTGTTCTAAATCATTGCTCTTGTAAAACTTTAGCTACCATATGATGGTTGATGGCAATGTCTGTAAAATTGGTCGTAAGGATGTCAAAAGCAAGGAGAAATTCGAGAAATGTTGCCATGGTATTAGTGGCAGAACCAAGTGTAAATAAATAGCACGCTATTATAGGGCTTCTACAGCCTATTTCAATTCTTTTTCAATAAAAGAAAATACTTTTACTTGGGTTATCACTACTACATTAAATTACCTAATGTCTAGCACTACAATTGAAGTCAAGTATCCATCACATGGTTGACCCTTGAATTGAGAGAGACTGAGCTGCATGAAACCACTGCGGCCCTAGTTTGTACATTGTTGTTTGATCAAATCATTTGCGCTAGATGCGCCATCATGGCATTGTTACTGGCAGGGTTTGCTAACTGAACACAAGTCAACAAAGCACAAGTGTCTACGCCAGTTGTTGTATTTAACCCTATACACCATGGCTTGGGAGCATCGAGCGCACTAGCGGATCAAATAGAGTTTGCCTCAGCAGATGACCAGTTTAGATTGTGTTGCTCATGACGCATTAAAATATACGGATTTCGCAAAATTGCGCTATATGTAGAATAATAGCCTCAAGCATATAAGGGTCTATTTCCGTCTCTTTTTATCCATAAATGGGTCATTTAACGCATGTACTACTTACAGGCACTGAAAATCACTAAAATTAGAAAAATTATCGTTTGTACACTATTTTCAGAAATTATTGGGACAAATCTTGAACTATTTTGGAACACTTGCCTAATTAATATTGGGACACTTATAAAAAAAACATTGAGACATTTTCAGAGAAAGTAAAATTCATTTATTACAAAGGCTCTTTCGCCAAACAAACATCGAATTTCTTAACAGAGTAGCGAGCAGAACCTTCAAGATCACTGTACAATACATCATTGCATGCATCGGTAATCCTGGTCGAAAGTGTTTCAGTTTTTAAGAGCCTCTCCCTCTTGAGTTTACTCTTGACCACATGCCAGAATTGCTCAATAGGATTAAGCTCAGGGGAGTATGGTGGGAGGTAAACACATCTGTAACCTCGCTGAATGATATACCTCTCAATATCCTTGGCTGTATGGATGGGTGCATTGTCCATAACAAGATAAAAATCTTTGAATTGCTCATGCTGGTCCATGATATCAATCGTTTTCGCAATAAAGTTAAAGTAGTGGCCAGTTACAGTACCCACAGTTGTTGTTGCTTTTCCAGAAGAAGTGCCAGCTAACTTTCTTTTCTTGTTGGATGTTCCAGGCAACCTCACTTGAACATTCAGCACTCCCCATACGCTAGTTGCGCCAATAATAGTGGTAGTTTTCGCTCTTGTTTGAGGTACAGGCACTTCAGCTCGAGTTCCTTTCTCTGACCAAGCCATTGTTCGCTTCAAGTTAACATGGAAAGCTGTCTCATCAATGAAAACACAGTTGGACATGTAATCCATGTCGGTTTGGCTCCATTTGACTACCCAGTCATACCGGTTTTGAATGTTCTCAGGCGAGTTTCTTTCTTTGGAATGGAAATGAGCTTTCTTGAAAGTCAAGGCAAGATCATTGGTCATGTAGTTGTAAATAGTCGTTTGGCTGATAGTCAAACCCGAGAAAGCCTTAACAAGACTCTCATGAGCTTGTTCGATTGTTACTGATGGATTATCTTTAAATTCTAGTTTTAGGTGCTTCGTATGGTCTTCGTTCAAAATCCTTGGTCGACCTGCTCTCTTAACTGGCTCTTCATCGTCTTCAATTTCTTTGTTAACCTTTTTTTGATCCTCTGCGTACCATCTGTAAGCAGTTGTTCTTGATATATGGCCGTGCGCTTTCCAAGCTTGATTAGGATTCATGCCATGGTCGTAGATAAGGATAAAAAATCTTGCCTTGTCTTTGTCTGTGTAGCTGTTATATTCAGTCTTGGGCACATTTTTCTTATTTTTAATCTTTTTCTCTTTTAGTGCGGTCAATTCTCTTTCAGGTGGCTTCCTATCAACGTAAGTATTGTAGTTGGTAATGTTACCGAGAGGGAAGGCTTCGTTGTCTACATCTATCTCAACAGCTTCGTTTCCATGCCCATCGACTGGAGCATTTATTCCGTCTTCGTAGTAAATTCTGATATCTGACATGTTATGAATAACGAAGAAAGCGACTATGATTTCATCTCAAATCCCATTCAGTTTTGTCTCATTATAATTTCGAAAAGTGTCCCAATATTAATTAGGCAAGTGTTCCAAAATAGTTCAAGATTTGTCCCAAGTTTAATTATAAATAGACCCAATAATTTCTGAAAATAGTGTATATGGTCCACAAAAGTAGTAGACAGGCGGATAGATGAGATTATTACCCCCTATCTAAGCAATTCACAAGACACAAAGTTCTTGTATAGGATCAAGAAAGCGTTGCACAGTTGAATCCAACAAATATAAAGCCCCAAGATATAATAAGGGTGAGGAGGATGTCTTTCCACATCAAACTACAATTAAAAAATGAAGCTTGCACTCTTGAGTACCGTCTTTACTCTCCTCATGTTGAATACCTTGGTCATGGCTCAAGGTTTGCACTGGATCTGTACTTGCTTCCATCCACAATACGATCGTGGGTGCTGCGGAGAAGTTGGGTAAGTGTTGCAACTGGCGTTGTTTGCATATTTGTTTCTAGTATTGTGTTTCTGTAGCTACACTATGGAAGTTGATGGCAATGTCTGCAATATTCCTCGCAAAGATGAAGCCAGCATGGAAAAGTTCAGAACTTGCTGCAATGGCATTGAAGGCTACACCAAATGCAAATAAACTACACCTTGCTACCAGGTTTAGCAGTGCAATCATTACTAAATGTTACAAGATTCATTAATAAACATGATGAGTTTGCTGGTCCATCTGATATAAGCCAGTGGAATAAATATTATGTGGATATAGAAAGTATGTTTATTGTTCTCTACTGTAGCATTGAGTAATCCTATCTGGACTGTACCAAGCCAATTCTCTTTGCTCTCTTCCTGACCAATGTTTTCATTGCAAATTTACTCTTTGATATGAACATCAACATGATTTATATCAGAAGCGTGCATCAAATTCAAGGTTGTTTCCTGCTGTTGAGACCAGTTTGTTAATAAACTACAATGTACCGCACATTGGGACAATGATATGAAATGCCGTTGTTTACAATATGTGTGAATCTTTCGAAGCAGCAGGAGACCAGTTTATTGGAATAGATTATCCTCGAACCAGGAGAGTTTCGATGGATGAAATCCAGATTAGTCAAGATCAAACGGTGCTTTTGAATAAGCAAATGCTAGAATTTTGGCGCGCTTTTCCATCCCTCTCTATCTTTTACTGACACAAGCATAATTTGTCGTCCAGGAGCTGGAAGATGTGTCCAGCAGTCTATCTACGGGATTTGGCAGATGAAAATAAAGTATTTATTTCAAGGGCACATTAGAGTATGGAGTCATCATCCATAGAGTATATCAAATGTTGGTTCAGGTCCGCCAAAATGTGAGCAGTTTTCCTACCATGAACATAATCCTACCGTAAAAAGTTTGAGCGTATATATTGAATGCTGATTCCCTTTAGATAGCAGACTCAAGCACATTTACCTGGAGCCAAGAAAAAGATCTACATGGCAATCTTGCCAATATATGAATTCCGCATTCATTTGAACGAATAAAGTGATTGCCATGGCAGTGCAATTAATTAAGGTGTGTGGAGGAAGCAATTTCCAAGAGATCACACACTACAAAGCACCCAGATTTCTTTCTCTTTCTTTCTTTCTTTTCCTTCTCCTTTCCATACCACTTTTTATTTGCCCCTGATTCTTACTGAAGACGCTGAGGCTTTTTTTTTTTTTTTTTTTTTTTTGTTATAACTATTTTTGATTCTATCCGTTTGTTACCCCAAAAAGAAGTGAGAGGGCTTAGGAAAATATAAAAAGAGGCCTTTGTTTCAGCATCATGACTTTACCTGTTCCTACAATTTCAATCACTGACCCAGACTTGGAGAGCCAAGATTACAACATGGCAGCAAGCGGCACTGTGACGCCAAATTCACCAGATTCACCTACTGTGTTTGATGTTGTGAAAGAGATGGAAGAAAACTCGGCTCAACCCTTTGACGAAACAGAGCTGGAAGAACAGCTTGATGATGAAAACAGCAGCACCAAGAGGAAGAACAAGAGGGAAAGCTTTTCTATTGACGACGACGATGACGATCATAGTGGACACAGCACCAAAAAGTCGATCAAATCATTCTACCATCAGAAATGTATCTTGATCACTGGCGCCTCTGGATTCATTGGAAAGGCTGTGCTGTGGAAACTGATTCATTCATTGTATGATTCAGTCGACAAGATCTTCATCCTATTGAGACAAAATAGACAGCGCTCTGCCAATGGACGTTTGCAGGATGACATTCTATCCAACAAGGTACAGTGCGTTTAAAGATGACATCTTGAAACACAGTAGACTGAAACAACAAGCAGGCTTTTCTTAGTCTGCGTAGATCAATGGGAACCGAAATGTTTGATGAATTTGTCGAGGAAAAGATCTATCCCATCTTTGGTGATTTAACAGAGGCCAACATTGGATTATCCGAAGCGGATTTAGACGTGCTTTGCAGCCAAATTAATGTGATCTTTCACTGTGCAGGCAATGTGGATGGCAATGAAGGCATTGAGACTACAGTCAAAGTGAGTTCAGGGAATAATCTGTTTGCATGACAGTCTAACTCAACGTCTGGCAGATCAACACACTAGGCACCAAGCAACTGTTTGATTTTGCCAACCAATGTCACTCGATTGACGCCTTTATTCACTTATCCAACATGCAGACATTAGCATCCAAACCATCCGATGAAAAGTACCTTTACCCCATCTCCACGTTCGAGAACGCATCTCCCTCACCAACCCAAATATTGGCTGAGATCCTGGATCCAAATCCGGAAAAGCAACAATACAACTACTTTAGACCTCTCTACAGCAATGCTTATTTGTATTCCAAAGCCTTGACAGAACATATCCTGATAGACGAAGTGATGAAGAATAAACAGGGAGGCGGCAGGCAGTTCCCCATCGCCATTATGCGATTAGGTCCTGTAGGACCGAGTGTGCAAGAACCTTTGGTGGGCTGGGTAAGTACTCTTTTATTGTTTCAGGGCACACATACACTGAATATTAAGGTTCCACTACAATAGGCTGATGGTGTGAATGGCATCAACGGTACTATCCTACTGACAGGCAAAGGCAATAAAGTCATTCAGCCTCATATCGGAGATGGCGTGGCTGATGTGGTTCCTGTGGATTATGTCGCTCGTTTAATCATTGGTAGTGCAGTGACACTGTCTGTACCTCAAGACTTTGAAGTACCTCAAGTGGCACTCTTGGCAGATGAGCAACAGCCACAGCAACAGCAAAAACAACAAAAGCGCCAAAGTGGCTCCATGGTAGATGAACAGCCCTCACAACAGCCAGAGAGGCCCTCAGATCGTGCAAGAGCCCATAAACGAACATCCAGTACAGCAAGCCGCATGTCCATGCGAAGCATCTCCAAGTACTCTATGCCCAAATCATTCTTGAGTGGTCATCAGGAACACCCAGCCGTACCTGTCATCTACCAAGTGTCTATGTCAGACATGCGTCCTGTCACATGGAGAATCGCCTATGATGCTATCCGTCAGTATTGGACAAAGGCCACGCACATCAACTTGCCACCATCCAAAGCCTACTTTAACGCATCGCAGAGAAACACAGGCTCTTATGGTGCTTCTGGTGCTGCTGCTGGGTCTCCTGGATTATCCCGTGCCCGCACTGTCATGAACTCGCTGCGTGGCTACTATATGAACGCATCATCATCCGAGACGACATCCAGTAACAGCAGCAGCACAGCAATAGCACCTTCACCCTCGCATTCCAGCGATCATCTGAGCAACGGAGGTGGTATCACAAGTCCAGCCAATAAGAGAAACTCGCACCGTCTTAGTCGCACTGTAGACAAGGCAGCCAAATTAGCCAACACCATCAGCATCTATGGAGGCAGCCCTGCCAACAGCAGTAATCAAATCAGCGCTCATCTGACACAGCTCATTTACGCCTTACGCAGCTTGGACAGCAACATGGATTTTGATGCCAGCGCCATTGTGCCTGAGGATGTGGATGGACAGTTTTGGGTCAACTACTTGACCAATGCCAGTTACGGCATTCATTACTTTGTATGTGGCGAGACCAATCTGAGACTCCCTACACCTGTCTATGGCTGGAGCTGTGGAATTCAGGCTACTGTGGATGGCATCTCAGAGGATGACGACGACTACTTTCAGCATGTCATGAATCGACACGTCAACAGTGCCATCTTCTCTCAAGATCAGATTGCGCAACGTACAGGGCGCATGGTGGCCCACATCAAGAGTCTGTTGATGCACAACAATCTCAAAACAGATGACGATGCCTGGCTGACAGATTTAGATGATGCGTTGGATGACTGGTGCCAAGACAACGATGTGGCGAACCCTGATAAAGACCGTCGAATGGCACTTGGCAAATGGCGTCGCAAAGTGGGCAGCAATGACGAGTCTGTCAAGATCATTGTGCTCAATGACAAGCGAGTAAATCAAGCCATTACTCAAATCACGCAAAATGCAGGTGTTCCCAAGCAGACAGCGGTGAATGAGGCCATGAAGATCTTGATGCGCATGAGCGAGAGAACACAGCTGGCGTTTGTCTGGTTTGCAGGCTCCTTTCTCAAGTCGCTGCTGGAGGACATGTTTGAACACGTTCGCATTCTGGACGAGAGTCTAAGAGCCATTCGACAGACCACCATGGGAAAGAGAGTCGTCTTCGTACCTGTGTCCAAAAGTATGCTGGATCCCCTCTTGGTGTGGTACATTGCCATTCGCTATCATCTGCCTGTGCCGGCTTTGGCGTGCGATGAAGTCATGTCTCAAATGGGCCCCATCTCGGATGTCTATCGCCTCGCTGGTGCTTATTACGTGAAACGCGACAAGACAAAACGTTCTCCACTAAATTCTGCTGTCACTGCAGCTTATACACAAGTGTTACTTCGAGAGCATGGTGCCTTGTCATTCTGTCTCGAGAGGTCCAGATCGAGAACCGGTAAATCTCAAGAAGCGTATCCTGATGGCTTTGTCGATATGATCATTGAAGCGACGCTGCAAACCAACCAAACAGCGAGAACATCGTCCAACACCTCCAGTGTCATCACACGCGTGGCTTCGACTGACATCAATACCCCTCCTGCTTCACCGGATTCGCCTTCAGCCTCTATCGTAGATAGTCCTACCATGAGCATCGACAGCTTGGCTCACAACTTTACAGCCCCCGCATTGCAAAGAAAAGTGCACAAGGATGTGGTGTTTGTCCCTATCAATATCACTTACGAGAACGTGCCTGAGTTACCCCATTTGATCGACCAAGTGCTGGATCAACAACCTACGCGTGCTGGTGGTGGTAGACAGCGATCCGCATCCCAATCCAGTCTATCATCTACCCTTCCTCCTATGCCATCACAGAGACCTCTCAGACCAAGTGAGGCCAAGGACAGGAGAAAGACGTTGTTGGAAGGCACTGAAGCACCTAAAAAGTGCGGGCGTGTGACATTTGGTGTGGGTCCATTGATCAGCGTGCAAGATGTAGCAGAAGAGTTTAACAGACATTCCAATGGGTAAGCTTAACGAGTGGTATATTAAAACACGGTTATTGACACAAACAACAGCAGCAATGCCGAGACTTACGAAGCGGATTTGGTCACTGAAATCACAAAGCGTATCCATGACTCTCAATGCAAGGGCTTGGTTGTCTCTCCAGTATCCATTGTCTCTGCTGTTATCCTGTATGGCCGTGCTACACACGGTGTTTGTATTGGAAAGATCAAGGAATTGATGGAATGGATGCGATACGAAATCAAGCGTAGTGGCTATTCCATTGATTGGCAGGGTAAGTTATACAGTACACATGCACACACGCACGCAATACTGATAGCATCATGGATAGAGGGCGAAGACTTGGATTCTCTCATTTTAACAGCATTTAAATTACTGGATGAACCTAAAAACTTGATCATTGATGGCAGAGAAATCAATGATGATACCAACATTCGAGTGAACGATCATGCTGACAATGTCATGGCCCTGTCCTACTATGCCAACCAAATGGTGGACATCTTTTTATTAGACTCTTTCTTTGCTATTGTCTACTTGTCCTTTTTGGAAGAGTCTGTGTTAGAAGATGAATTCATGGATCGCTTCCGTTTCTTGCTTCAAATGCTAGAGAAGGAATTTGTGCTGGATTGGGACTTGGAAGAGGTATTTAAGGATGCATAGTGTAGTGAGTACCAAGCTAATTAGCCTGTTTGTAGAAATTCAATACTATCGTTGCTTCTTATGCTCGCAAGCAGATTATTCGAGTCAATGACAACCGTCTATCACTGCTGGTTAACATGGAGAATGACCCCATGCGCTACGAGCAACTGATATTCTTGGCTTCTCTTGTCTATCCCACTGTCGATGCTTACTGGATCACATCGTGCTCGTTATCTGCTCTAGAAGCTGTACCCATGCTTCCTCGATGCATTGTTCCGCTCTTGACTCAATGGATTGCAACACATCTCATCACTGGCCGTCGCACCATTTACCGCGAAGTCTTGTCTACAGAATCCAGTAAAAACGCAGTGGATGTGTTTATGTCTATGGGCTTCTTGACCGAAATTCATGCAAAAGAAAAGCTGTCTCCAGATGCACAAATCTTGCTGCATGAACTGGGAATCCCTACATCGGAGGTACTAATTGAACTCGCTGGACAGAACAGTGATGGAGGAAAGACACCTGTTACGCCAACGGACCCAGAAGGCATGATGGTAAGGATAGGATCAAATGCAATATTCACTACACACAAAACTAAAATTTAACCCTAGAAGGCTGTGATGGCGCAAATACAAATGAACAGAGCCAATTCAAACATGGCAGACCTGTGTCAACAAATTGATTCCTATCGCTTAGGAGCTGCATCGCAAAGAGAGAGCTTCCAAAATGCGCAAGTGTTTCAAAAGTGTCTCAAACAGATCAAGGGCATACTGCAAGCAAATTCCAGTTTTGCAAAGAGAAGACATGTAGAATTACCCGACGACGAAGATGGATTGGCACAACTGGTGTATTCATTGTTGGCTAGCAGTGTGCCTACGGGTGACCGCGCTGCTCAGGCTCGTGCTCTTCGTCGCATATCTGAAGCTTATAATTTGAGATGATGATAAGGCTAAAATAAATGTCGCATCCTTTTGTCACATGATAATGGTTGAGATTAGTTGTGATTTGGAAAGAATTGGTTTTTGTGAATCGTACCAATGATGGCTATCATATGTGCACCAAAGTTTTACTAAATGATAGTTATTTCTTCAAATAAACAGCAGTGAGGAAGCAAAGTGAAAAAAAAAAAAAAAAAAAAAAAAAAAAACTTGATTAGAGAATTGCTTTCTCAATATTTTTGTTGGCACTAGCGATAGGGGATGGCAGTAGATCTGCAATGACCATCCATTGCTTGTTTGGTTGGTTGTTTTATATAATATTCACCATATCGACATCTTGGCTGAAGAGAGGAATGCCGTTCATCAGTTCTCTCCTAGGCACGACAGACTTTCCAAACATCATTAGCTTCCTGTGTTTTCAACGCAGCAATGTTCTTTTTGGTGTCTGATAAAAATTACGTTTTATCATTGTTTTCTACATAAGGGGGGTGTAGATTCAAGGATTCAACATTGACTGTAGTCTTTTTTTTTTTTTTTTTTTTTTTTTGGCTTCCTGTCATGGGCCCCTCTTGATATGCATATACCATGGCGTTTTGGTATAAAACTTCTTCAATAGATACAGCTGGTATTGCTTGCTCAACGAGTGATGGTGGTTATGCTCGGATGCCAGTATATCCCAACTCTTCTATATCCGCGCTAGACCCTAACAAATTGGTATTGTTGTCGTAAACTATATGAATCGTTATACAAATTGAATCAGTACTTTGTCCATTGAAAGAAAGACTTGTAAAACATGTACTGACAGTTCTTTCCGCATACATTGTTGCTTCATGCCAGTGGTTGCCTTGAAAGCCTTTCCACATTGATGGAGTAAAGAGAGCTATAAGGATGCTTAAAATAGCTGCATTAACGCAAATCACTACTAAAATTCCAGTCTGGATCAAGGAAATAGCTGACATCTCCATTTACTGCGCATTCATGCCGTTACAGTTAAAATATCTCCATCTTCTAGCTTATCGTTATTACATTTACCTTGCAATAGCACACATATACCTGTAATTTTGAAAGTGAGATAAACAAAACAAAAAGAAACGGCTAGCTTCCGAAAAATTAAAGATTCTTCAAAAGTTAGCAGAAGATGTGAGGCTTGTGATGATGGAAACAACCCTTCTGGTCCAATTTTTTTTTTACATTGGATGCTGTAATGAAATAGCCACTTGAAAGTAATCTAATTGAAAGTCGATATTCCTCTAGTGTCACTCATCCAAACTTATACTATTTGAGTCTCTAATAAAGCCCTCAAATGTACATAAACCATCATTCGGACATGCTGAAATGAAAACACACCCTTATCTCGCACATCGTATGAATGAATATACTGTAATCAATAGTGATTCGTTCGCACTCATGATGGTCGTCGTAGGTGATGCTATCTTTATTCAAACAAATCAACTCAATAACAAGCATAAATATGACAACTATGCCATGATGCCATAGCCACACAGTGCTCCAGATAAATGTGCTCCCACTTCAGTAGCAAACATCACACCTTAAACTGTCGAGGCTACAATATATTATGTTATGACGATAACTCATCGAAGCATGTTAAGGTTACTCCGGCCAAATCAAATATGGTTTGTTCTAAAAAACAATCAGTTTCACATCAATCATCAGCAACAACTCATCTAACCTAAAAATTCAACTACATCGCCGTTTTTATCGCAAGCTTCCTCATACGAGCATGCTACTTTCAAAGCTCCAGTATCAATATCTCAAACCTCAATTTCGGATGATCCAACCTCGAAATCAAAAGCTCTTTTGTTAGGCAGTGTTTCTGTCGCAGGTAGTAGCCTAAAATCAATGCCGCTATAGAAGATATTTGCTGTTCAATTGATTCATTTGACTCATACAGACAATTTTTGTAGAAAGAAGTTATGAAATCAAATGAATCTGCAGTCTGCATTTCCAGCAAGGTAAAAGTTATACTCCTTGAAGCATAAAACGTTTTAATAGTTTTCCATAGTAGTTAATTAACTATTGCTTGGTAATGGGATGGCCAGAAGAATACTGCTGTAACATCAATGTAAACAACACTGCCCTGAAATAGTACCAATACAACCTCCCCGCACAATATATTTAAAGTAATTCCTCATATTAAACTGTTGTGCAATGGATGCCAGGTTGAATAGTTACATAGTATTATCTTACAATTAAATGAAGTAGGCTTCAAATGGTATCTATTTTTTGGCTACCCTTTTATTACAAATACAAAATTATAATACATGACAGATCAATAGGAGATTAATTAGCTGTAACTCTTCGTTGTTCCAACCTCTTAGCCAATCAGATTGCTTGAAAACTCCGCTGACCTAAAAAAAATTTTGCGAGGGTTTCCCCCTGTTTTGATGTGAGGCAAAATTTTAAGCGCCGCTATATATAGCAATATAGCCGCTGCTATCATCAAATTTCCCTCAGGTGCTAGAGCATGCCTTACTTACACCACCTAGCTTTAAATTCAGGCATTGAGACCCTCAATCATCACTAAAGTAAGTAGCAATAACCAAGTGGAGGCAGCCTATCCACCTCCTAGCCTCGGATAAAGTCTTGTTGAGCTTCAGGGATAGGCACATCCACACAACGTAAAAAAGGTATGCTTCAAAGAAACATAAAAATAATAAAAGAATGAAGAAAAGAACATACTACTACTACTATAAGAGTATAGTGGTATGTAGGCAAAAAAAAAAGAGGCACTCACACGAAGCGAGTCAAAGAAAAGCGTAACGAATACAACACCAAAGATGTTCCAAAAAGCTCGTTGCTGTTGCAAGAAAAATGCATGCATGAGCAACGCGCATGGTAGTAATAGTCGGATGTAAAGCAAAATGATACAAATACGCACAACTGCAAAAGCAACAGTGGTATTATAAGTTCGCGATACAACATAATGACTAATGTTGTTTCATGTAAAGCTACAGAGGAAACACCACCAACAAAAGAAAAAGAAGAAGAAAAAAGCGCAACAAGGCAAACATCATCATGAATGCATTATCACGAGAAAGGAAGCAATAATATAAGCGTTCAAAGAAGTTTCATATCATTGCAACCAGGAAAAAGAAGATACTTACCATTTACCACCACCGTAGATAGACCAGAGGATACGCAATCACTGAATATAGACCATAGAACAAGCATACAACAAATACAGTAGACCGGGAGAGACCATTTTAGCAGCAGCAGCAGCAGTAGCAGCAGCAGCAACACCAGCACCATAGACAAACTAAAGAACAAGCGCCATCAGCAGAGACCAAACAAAGACCAAAGAAGCTATTTACCACTTATCTCCATCACAGATAGACCAGAGGATATGCAATCACTGAATATAGACCAGAGAACGAGCATGCACCAAAGACAGTAGACCAGGAGAGACCATATTAGCAGCAGCAGCAGCAGCAGCAGCAACACCAGTACCATAGACAAACCGAGAAACGAACGCCACCAGCAGAGACCAGACAAAAGCCAAAGAAGCAATCACCAGACATGGTAAACCAAAGAAGCAGGCAGCAGAGAAGACAGAGAAGGAATGGCAGCAGCACTCACTCAAACAAGCAAAGAAATTATTAAAACCTAATAAACAAACTGAATTAATGTTAATCCTATGCCTTCCAGTGCTCGTTATCGAATGGTACGTAACATATTCCACTTCAAAGAAGCAGTATCAAGTACTCTTAACAGAACAAGACAGAGTTATCGGAAGCTAGAGTGTTATTATCAATCAAACGGTCTCCAAATCCACCATGGTTTGATACTAAAACGCGTTTCGCAAAAAGGAGAAAAAACGAGGGGTATGAAAGAATGAGAGAGCGCCCTATCCGACGTCACGGCCAGTAGATTTGTCCTCAGTTTTTGTCGTGGCAGCTCTAATTGCGGCAATTTAATTTGAAATTGTGCAGTGGTATTTTCGTGTTCAAACTTGACTTGATCTCACATCCTTTAAACGTTTTTGCTAAATTTGACTATGAAAACTGTCGTTGTTACACCCAACCTTCTAATACATATCCAGAGGACTAAAGAAGCCGCATTGAATGGTGCTAATTACTTTTAGCTTTCAGACCAAAAATAATGAGCAATTTTTAAAAATATGAAAACATGTTTTTTGCCAAAATGTCGAAATTTCACATACGAAAATTTCATAGAAAGAGTTTCAAGTGCTGCATCCAGTCTTTATGATCAATTTGATCTTATTTGTATCATAGAGAAAGTCTTTATTTTTGGGGTGAAAAACGCGATCGTTTGATTTTCAAGAATTTTTCCTTGCTAATACTCATGAAAAAAATGAGAATTTCTATGAATTTTCAATGACCCAAAAAAAAATTGAGATAAAGCATCAGTAAGTATCGCATGGACAAGAGGAGTCGTTTAGCCATATTCCAAGCGCCCAAAACGCTTTGTAGCATCAGTTATTCGTGCTTCAAAATGGCTAGATTTGCACAGAATTCAACCTAAAACGACGGCGTAGTGGGTTGTGTTGCCGAACAAGTACGTAAATTACAGTGCTTTATAGCGGCTGGGATTTTCTGCATTGTACGAAACTCAATTTCTAAGTGATAAGCTGATGCATTTCACACCACAACCCATCATATTACACCTGATACGACACAAGGCCAACATCTCATCGGTTTCTACATGCATTACAAAGCATACAACAAACTATAGTCTACACGCGCAACAACAGGACATATCAAACAGTCAACTAGTTGGATTACTATTACTGAAACAAAACCATTTACTTTAATGACAAGAAAAGATTACAACTACATCTATTTCTAGATTTTCTACACATATTATTTAACACAATCTACTCTATCGTCACATTTGAATTTACATCTCAGGATCTGACATTCAAAAAGATACAAAAAGGACCACCATACATATCATTTATGTGATATGAGTTATCCAACGCTTTGTTGAATGCGTTTTATCATGAATGCTTTTATATTCTAGTC